ATCCCTAGTACCACGACCCCTTTTAAATCCAGCCTGGACTTCCGGAAGTTCTCTGCTGATGTGCTGTTCTAGTCATTTTTGGATAATCTTCAGTAGAATCTTGCTTGCTTGTGAAATCAATGATATTGTTCTGTAGTTTCCACACTCAGTTGGGTCACCCTTCTTGGGAGTGGGAACAAATACAGAACTGCTCTTCCAGTCAGTTGGCCAAATGGTTGTTCTCCAGATTTCTTGGCACAACTTGGTGAGCTCATCCAGGGCAGCATCTGTTATCTGAAATACTTCAATTGGTATACCTTCTATTCCTGGGGCCTTATTTTTTGCTGTTTCCGTCAAAGCAGCTTGAACTTCTTCCTTCATCACCATAGCTCCTGCTCATATTTCATTTCATTAAATTCTTCTGTATCTGCAACATTTTTATTACAAAAGTTAGAAATGTTGGTAACATTTTACCTTTATATTGACAGTATAGGCCTTTGGCTCCTTGATATATTAAGAGGGTCTCTAGGTCAGCTCCCCGACCTGGGTGATCCCTAGACTTTATTTTCTGTTCCCCAACATAAAGACCACATCAACCAAAGCTCAAGTTTATTGAATTCAGCAAATTATCTTCTGTGAAAATGGTCATTTTCAATGTTTTAATTACTTCACTGGATTCCCATCTGTACTTTCCCCCTCTCATTCTTTCTTTTTTAGCAAGTCATAAATATATGTGAAAAGATTTTTTTAAAAATGTATTGAGGAAAACTTTGTAATTAAACCCGTATAAAATAAAAACTTTTAAAAAATATATTTTATGCATCATGTTTGGTTGTTTTCAACATAATTCTTAGCCCACAAGCATAATTCACCTTCTGTCGGAACTGCAAACGCCTGGGTTATATACTATTTGTTAAACTATGCCTTACTAATTGTACTTAATAACAGTTTCTTTACAGATTTTTCTCATTTTTGTTTGTCTATTAGTTATATACATTTCAATCCCTGTTAGTAAACTCGATGGCTTATTCTACTGTTCAATTTCATTCCATCCTGGTAGACATATAGTAATAATTTACTTAGTCAAGTTTTCACTAATCAAGATTTGTATTTAGATTATTTCAGAATACATTGTGCCTTATTATTATTAAAGAGTGAAAACTGAAGCACCTAGCTCAATGGTACCCAAGAACAACAATTTACTTTTGGGAGAAAACATTCTGATTAGAGGAATTTGGCAAATTTGGGGTTTTTTAGTTATGTGCTGTATGATATATATGCATATATAGGAATTTTTTATGTCTTTCTCTGTTTTGTATTAGGTAAGCATAAAATAGTCTAAAATATTTTCTTTTGAGATGTGAATTTGGTCAATAGGGACAGATTGTTCCTCTGTAGGTTAGCTAACAGATAGGAAGCAGATGTGGCATTGGGAGGAGGATAGCAGAGGTAGAACAAACATATAAGTAATCTGGAAAAAGGTGAAAGTCAAATTATAAATTAAATGTCAGCCGTTGGACCAAACCTTTTCCATTCTTGCTATTCTGAAGAGATGAGCAAAAATGAGTGAGAGTAGATTTTTAAAAGCCACTATTCTACTCTACTTATTGTTCTAATTCCAGTTTGTGGTTCAGGGGTTGTTGGGTTTTTATTTTGGTTAAATAATCTGATTTTACTTTTCTTTGGTTAAATTGTTTGTAACCCTTCATTAGCTGTTTTTGTATTTCAAGAGAATTGTTAATGTCTTTAAAATAATATGGACTTTGTCAGTGCTTTTCTGGGAATGTCTGGCATGTTTATTGGTCAAATCTTTTGCAGATGGGAATTAAATTTGGTGAGGAATCTTCTAGATCAAATATACATTATTTTGTTGTTTTAGAAAACTATCAAAAGCTTTAAAACTTCAGTCTGGGTGTCAACACGAGCCTCTGATTTGGGAGTGGCTGCTGCTACTGGCAATGCTTTCCCTTGGACTGTCCTCTATTTTGTTTTGCTTAACGCTATACTGTTTTCTTCTGTCGCAAACAAAGTTCTACAACTTCACTGTGCTTCTGCACATATTAGTTCTACTTTTGAATCTATCTGCCTGATTAGTGATAGATAATAGGTCACAATGATTCTTGAATGTTATCTTTTAAAAATATTCCTACAATAACCAAAACCACTGTCATTGACTCATTTCTCTCTCATGGTAACTGCCCCCTACATTTCTGAGGCTATATATTTTTGTAGAAAAACACTGCACATCTTTTGTCAGTATAAAGGCTGGTGGGTTTGAACTGCTTACCTTTGGATTCACCATGCAACACTAGAGCTTCTTATGCCTCTTAGCTACTTTCAGTGAATCTGTTCCAAATCAGAATGACCCTCCATCTGGATTCCAAGGTCATAAATAAATATTCTCAGGAGGACACTGTCCATCTTTCTTCCCTGGAACACCTGATGGATTTGAACCACTGACTTCAGTTTGTAGTGCAGCACACTCTGCCACCAGAGTTCCTTACTGTGCTACAAGAACACTTTTAATTCAGAAATTAAAAAATAGAGTTTTGATTTGTTATCTTTTCAAATGGTTTATCAATGACAAAGGGAGCTCAGGTGACTTAGTCATAAGAAGTTGCACTGCAGGCAGTTTGAATCTGTCAGTTACTCCCATGTGATTTCTTACCTCTCAACACCTGCTAGCGGTGAGCCCATTCTGATCCAACATTACATAACAACAACAAAAACATTAGTGATATGCCTATTAGAATGAATTTTTTAAAAACTAACAAACAAAACAACCTGACAATAGTAAATGCTGATGTGGAGTTGGTAGGAATACAAATGGTACAATTGCTTTGGAAGACACATTGGTAGATTTCTGTAGAGCTAAGTCTTATTCTATGATCTGGCAATTATGCTCTTACATATTTAGCCAGTTGAATAAAAAAAAACCCACCCAACCCAGCCATGTTCATTCACAAACCTATACATGAGTCTTTATAGCAACTTTATTCATGACAACCAAAATCATAACAGTAACCAACGGTTGTCAAGTGCAGGAGGACTGAACAGGTAAAATACAGGGACTTTATAGAGCAGTGAAATGATTCTGTATATATTTTTGTGATGAAAACATGACATGGTGCCTTTGTTAAAATTGCTAGAACTTTTCAGCACAAAGGGTAAACTTTTAATGCACACATGTTTACTAATTTACTTAGGAGGTTGGAGGATCCCAAGAGGGATTTCAGACTGTGATTAGAGAATCTAACTGTATTTCAATTGTATGAAACAACATCACTGAAAGAAGAGTAATAAGGCACTGACCCAAGTAATTTTTAAAATAAGTCTCTCAGACTAAAATTCAAATTAAATTATACATATTCAGTGTATTCTCATTGAGAAGGTTATTTCCTATGGGAGTACAAGTTAACAATTCTGATGCCACTATACATGTACACTATGTGCATAGTTAGCTTACTGGACAGCAGATGCTGGGAGCCAGGTCTACTACTGAAGTGGGAATTTACAAATAAGTAATGAAGTAAAGCTAGAGATATTAATATGAACTCATGCTTAGCCCAATAGCAACACAGATGATGCATAGAGAAATGTTTATAGACATGTGTATATGTATATGTATTCTGCATATACTACTTTGCCCTGTAATCTAGCATTTTAATACTATTCTGACTTTAAAACTGGCAGAAAATAGAGAAATATATGTATCAGGATCATCCTATAGTAAAAGAAACTAAAAAATTAGTAAACAAAAAAATGAGAGGGATAAGTTACAAGTATGTAAGAACCAACTGCAAGAGCTTCCAATGGTCATAGCTGGAACAACAACAACAAATTTATTATGTTAATTTAAGTATTCATATTTTAATATTGTTTTTCCCTTAAGCTATCTCATTATGCATCTTATCTACTTACTGATTTTTTTCTACTCCTCTTCCAAACTCTGGTAGCCATCACATAGCATTTTAGTCTATATGTAAATAATTTCTTTAAACATTTTATAATAGTGGATTCATACCTTTCTTTTTTACTTTTGTGATTGACTTATTTCACTCCACAAAAATTTGGAACAACTTAAATAACAAAACAGGGTAGTATTGGTTATGACCCAAAGAATAAAGTATATATTAATGAATTCATTTTGATATAAATAAGTGATTGAACAAATTAACAAATGAGAGAAGAAGGACAAATATTTTAGGGAGGGGAAAAAATCCAAATTTATGTATATATTCTGCCTTGTAAGAGGAGGAGCATAATTTCTTACTGCTTAAATATGGGCTGCTTATAGTAACTTCCCTCCAAAGAATTCAAATGGACATAGAGGCAAGGAGTGAGGTGAGCAACTTTACTTTGAAATAAAAAAGACGCATATTACCTCAGTCAGATGGTGATAATCAAGGTCAACAGTCATAGGCTATGTTTACAGTATGTGTCCTCATTAACCCCAGCCTGCCCGTGAGAATAATACATGACAAATCCCAGTAGAGGGACATCCTTATGAATTTCCTCAGAATTCTCAGGGTCATCAAAAACAAGGAAAATGTCAGAAAGTCTAACAAGCTAGAGAATCCCAAGGAGACAACAACTAAATGTAATGGAATATTCTTGATAGAATCTTGGAATAGAAAATGGACATTTAGTGAAAACTGTTGTTGTTATTGTTGTTAGGTGCCTTTGAATCACATGTGATTCATAGCAACACTATGAATGACGCATCTGAACTCTGTCCAATCTTGCACCATCCTTCTCCCCCCAACGCACTTTGAGCCCATTGACACAGTCACTGTATGAATCCATCTTGCTGAGGGTTTTCATCTCTTTTCAAATATAACACATGAATGCAAGATATTAACAATAGGGAAAACTAGTTGCAAAGTATATGGGAATTCTGTATTGGCTTCTCATTTTCTTGCTAATCTAAAGCTGTTGTAAAAATTAATGACTATTAAATAAAAGTGAAAATGATATTTGAAAGTGTTAAAATAATACAGTTGTTTTTGTCTTTTCTGCAGTTTTGATAGTGTTGCCTGCCTTGCTGACTCCACTTCCCTCTCAGACATCACTTTTGATGGCAATCCAATAGCTCAAGAGTCATGGTACAAACACACTATCCTTCAGAATATGATGCAGCTGCGACAGCTAGATATGAAGAGAATCACGGTGAGAATGCTACCCAAGTGTTTATCATATTAATTAATTAGTGTGGTTTGGGAAATTGAAAGGCACATTCATTGTTTGTAATGTTGCTTAATTTTGGTTGACTGTGACTTATGGCTGTATATATCATAATCACAGTTAAAGAACTTTTATCATTAGTGTGTTCACTTATTTGGCCAAGCACATGCCCTAAGACCCCATATAAGGGCACAGCCATGCACTTTAAGTAGATGCTATTCACTCCACCCATATTCTTACACCCTACTCTGGCCTTTACCCTGTTTCCTTTACCCTCCTGAAGACTGTTACCATGTGATAAACCACTTCCTGCATGTGGGAACCCAGTTTACCTATTTGGACCTTATTATTCCAAGCAGGGGCCATCCCAAACATGCGTGCCCTCTTTATCTTTCTTGGATATTAACATTTCAACCAGCCATCTCCTGTGTGTGCATATCCTTACTCCAATTAAGTGAAAGTTGAGATTGAGAACAAAGTATTTAAAATAGGGCTAAAAATTGCTTCTTCCTCTTGTTCTTATGTCCCTGGGATATTGTGGAATATATATGATCATTTATATTAAATATAATTTAACTTGGTTTCTAAAAATGGCCCCAGAAATTGATATACCAATTGATATTTCAACAAACAGACTCCAACCTAGATGTTCTCACCAAGTTGTGTCAAGAAATCTGGAAGACAACCACCTGGCCTACTGACTAGAAGAGATCTATATTTGTTCCCATTCCAAAGAAAGGTGACTCGGCAGAGTGTGAAACTTATCAAACAATGCCATTGATATCACATGTAAGCAAGATTCTGCTGAAGATCTTCCAAAAACTATTAGAACAGCACATCAACAGAGAATTACCTGAAGTGCAGGCTGGGTTTAGAAGCGGCCGTGGTACTAGGGGTATTATAGCTAATGTTAGATGGATCTTGGCTGAAAGCAAGGAGTATCAGAGGAATGTCTATCGGTGTTTAATTGACTATGCAAAGGCATTTGACTGTGTGGATCACAACGAACTATGGCTGACTCTGAGAAGAATGAGAATTCCAGAACACTTGATTGTGCTTATGCGAAATCTATACTTGGAAGCAATCATCAGAACAGAGCAAGGAAACATTGCATGGTTCAAAATTGGGAAGGGAATATGCCAGGGATGTGTTCTATCTCCATACCTTTTCAACCAATATGCAGACCAGATTATCTGGGAGGCTGGGCTCTATGAGGAGGAATGTAGCATCAAGATTGGAGGAAGACTCATTAACAATCTGCATTATGCAGATAACACAACCCTGCTGTTGAAAGTGAAGAAGACCTGAAGCGCTATATGCAGAAGTTCAAGGACTGCAGCCTTCAATATGGATTGAAGTTCAACATCAAGAAAACAAAAATTCTCACCACTGGGCAGATTGGCAGCATCATGATAGATGGTGAAGAGATTGAGATTATTAACAGCTTTAGTGTGCTTGGCTCCACAATCAACACTCTTGGTACCAGCAGCCAGGAAACTAAAAGACAAATTGCATTGGGAAAGTCTGCTGTCAGGGACTTCTCCAAAGTATGGAAGAATGAAGATGTCAGTCTGGAGACTAAGGTGTGCCTGATACAGACCATAGTCTTTGCAGTTACTTGCTGTGCATCAGAAAGCTGGATAATGACTAGGGATGATTGAAGGGCAATTCATGCCTTTTGAGCTGTGGTGCTGGATAAGAATATTGAATATACCATGGATGGCTAGGAGAACAATCAGGTTAGTCCTAAAAGGGTGAAACCAGGCTGCTCCTTGAAGGCAAGGATTCTGAAGCTTTGTCTGACATACTTTGGACATGTTGCATGTTGCAAGGTGGGATCAGTCCTTGGAGAGGGATGTCATGTTTGGAAGGGTGGAGGGACAGCGCAAGAGAGGAAGACCTTTGATGAGATGGATTGATTCAGTGACTGGGGTAATGGAGGGTAGATGTGTTGGAGACAGTGAGATTGGCACAGGATAGAACATAAGGTCTCTAAGAATCAAAAGCACTCGACAGCACATAACAACAAAGTTAAAAGGCCTTTAGTGTTAGGCTTGTAGATCAATGCTGAGGAGTAGAGCTCAATCTTAGATTCATATTTCTGGGGGCAAAGTATTAATTAAAAAGATTCATAAGGATGCTATTAATGTGAGTTTTTCATTATTATGAGAAATAGTAAATCTAAAAACATTTGACCTTTAGTCAAACCTTTGTTTTTCAAATGACATTTAGGTTACTTGAGGAGACATAAAAGAAAGCTAATACCAAAAAAGCCTAATTTAAGAATAAGAATACGAAAGATAAATGTCAGGTTATTTTACATTTCAGTGTAATCCTATACAACTAATTAACTTAATTAGTTTTTATTAAGTAAGCCTTCTACTGAAATAGTGTGTGAGTTACTTTTTATAATGCAATAGAATTCCTTTCTGCTATTGAATTAATAAAAAGTATTTATTAGCCTAAAATTTAAATATAGTCTCATGGTAGATGTGTTGATTTTCCCAAAGTTAATGTGTATTAATAGAAGTCTGATTAAAATACTGTCAAGATTAACAATAAAGTCAGATAAAATTATTTTTATATTCATATGGAAGAATAATGCTAAGCCCACACTCAAAACAACTCAAACTTAACTGACTCATAGCTGATCCCCAGCAAATTTTCAGAGGCTGTAAATTGCACAGTAGAAGATTGCCTGTCTGCTTCCCACTGGTGGATTCTAACTGCCAAAGAGGTGCTGCCTTTGCTTAAGCTGTGAGCACCCTAAGGACTATGCCACCAGACGTCCATGCTTTGCCCAGAACAACTAAGAAAACTGCAAAACAAAACTGTGAGGTGAGGAAAAAGAAGTGTTACTTCTCATATGTTGGAACATAAAGTCCTAAAAATCAATGTGTAACTGATATAGAATTAAGTTCATGAAATACTCTACAGAATCCAGAGTTTAGCCCTTATATATGAGAAGAAAATATAAAATATATTCCCATTTTTTCATATAAGGTTTTGTTGTGTGTGTGTTTTTTAAGAGTACATACATGCTGTAACGGATAATTTTAAGTACATAATATAAAGAATTGTCACTAAATGAGCATGCCTCTGAAAATGTACCCGTATCAACAAACAAAATATTAAAAGTGCCCAAAAATCTTCTTGATGTCTCACACCAAGCAATGCTCTGGTTTTCTTCACCAAATATCAGCACCCTTTTACTTTTAATACCATGGATTAGCTTTTCTATTTGTGGAGTCTGGCTTCTTTCAATGTTCTGATTATCAGATTTATTCATGTTATATATAACTATAATTCCTTTTTAATGGTCTTCGCCCTTTTCCCAGGTAGCTCCATGATTCACTCTCTTGATTCACTCTGGTCTTTGTTCAAATGTCAACTCTGGAAAGAAGCCTTCTCTAACAAATCTATTTAAAATATCTTTCCCTGTTTTGTTCCCTTATCTTTGCCTATCTTCATCTATTCATCACTACTTGAAATTACATTTTATCTGTATTTGTTTATAGTCTGTCTTGGGCTGGATTCTTTAGAGAAGCTAAAGAGAGAAAGAGAAAGATTGATTTAAAGAAATGGCTCAAATGCCTATAGAGACTGGCAAGTCTCAGGTCTGTAGATCAGATAACAAGAGAGGTGTCTGGGGAGGCTAATGTATCCAAGTCATTGACAGTCAGGCAGTGTCTCAGGCTACTGACTTTGGAGGCTACTAGCTGCAGAAGCTGGCATGCCCAAAGGTCATTTTGGAAGAGCAGGAGACTGATGAGGCCAAAACTGGCAGGTACAGCCAGCCACTGCTTCAGGCCTAGAAACCACATGCCAGATAGTCATTTATAGATCACATAAAAAGCTTTCTGGCTTTTAACTGGATAGTCAAAACATATATTTATACAGGCCACACTCCTGAGGAGACTCCCCATTAATCAACTTAGAGCTGCTTCTAATCCTTCATTAACATCTGTTGCCGTATAGTTAGATTATACTGACAATCATGACCCTGTTGATAAACACACATGCATTGTTCTCCTTAAAGTGTGGCTATCCAGACTGTAAGATGGGCTCTCTTGTTTTGGTTGAGGGTCATTGTGGAATGTTTGGTTGTTCCGTTGTGTGGGTTTTTTAATTTTTTATTTATTTTTTTTTTATTAAAGCCTCTTATTTAGAGTTAATAAAACCTCCTGGAGGGTCATTATATTTAATAAGTTGGGTCCAAAGGATTATATTTTAATCCTTTGCTACTACATTTTGGAGAAACATTCTTCTAAGTCATACAGCACTCTTCTATCAATTTGCTGTGCTGAGGTAATCTGGGTTTGCTGTGATACTGAACCTTGCACCACTGGGGTCTAAACTGGCATAATGGCTACCCATGGGACAGTGTTTGGTGGAGCTCCTAGTTTTAAGACAGGTTGGGAAGGAGGAGTGGCATCCACTTCTTAAAGCACATAACTCTGGAAACTCTATGAACTTGGAGAAATGATAGTTATAGAAAGGCCTCAGGTCTTTTATTCATGGAGTCGATATGAGTCGTGTGCGACTCAACAGCAATCAACAACAATCCAGACAATATTCCACACCATACTTTGGTGAATAGCGACTAGGATCTTAAAAGCGTCTGTGTAGCCATCTAAGTTATAACTGTTGGTCTCTTTCTGTTACAAAGAGAAAAGAAAAACAAATACACATAGAAACATTAACTTCAGAGGACTAACATCACACAGACTTCAGCTACCTGGACTCCAGACCCCACAAACAAGATAGTGCCAGCTACCACTGCTGACCACTCAATGGAGAAAGACTAAAGGCATTTTCTTTGCAAACAGGGAACAGACAAGGATGCCCACTGTCACCACTTCTATTCTATATTGTACTGGAAGTGCTTGCTAGGGCAATACCACAAGAGAAGGAAATAAAAGGCATCCAGATTGGCAAAGAGATGGTTAAACTATTGCTATATGCAGATGATATGATAATGTACA